CTGGTGCAGGGTGGGGGGGTGGGGGGTGGACAGGGGTTGGGGGTATCAGGAGGCAGGCAGGGCACTGACTTCTGTCCTCCTGGGCCTGGTGTTCATGTCCTGCTCCATCTCCAGGCCTGACTAGACTAATGTGGTCCTGGGTTCCAGCCCTGATTTAACTATTCCTTAGTGATACGTTCTTCTCAAGTCTTTGCCCATCCCATCCTCTGTTTCTTTTGAGATAGGGTCTTGCTATGTAGCTTGTGCTGGCCTCAAACTTGCTGTGTTCTTTCTGCCTTGACCCTGCCCACCCCAGTGTTGGGATATGTGTGCCAACATTGGTGCATCACCACCACTTAATAACATGCACGCACGCACGCACACGGCTGGAACTTCAGTTTCTTTGAAGCTAAGGCCAGCCCCCACCCTCCCCTATTCCTTTTCTTTGAGGAATATATGGGCTGATATGTGTGAAGTCTCAGCCCAGGACTGGGTGGCTTGCACAACAGAAATTCACTTTTCTTCTAGTTCGGGAGGATAGAGAACCAGGAGGTCTGTGTCAGCAGCCGGGTTGTTCCTCCTCTGTTGAGCACACTATTTTTTTTTTTTTTTTTTTTTTTTGAGACAGAGTCTTGCCCAGGCTGGTCCCAAACTTCTAGGCTCAAAGTGATTATTCTGTCTCAGATCTCTGTAAGTTCAAGGCCTGCCAGCTAGGACTACATAGTAAGACTGTCTCAGATAGATAGATAGATAGATAGATAGATAGATAGATAGATGGATGGATAGATAGAGAGATAGAATAATCCCCTTCTTTCTGGGTGAGGTATGGTGGCTCAGACTTGTGCAACATAGTGAGTTCCAGGCCAGTCTGGGCTGAGTTTAAAACCTGTCCAACAAACAAGCAAGAAATCAAACACACGCAGGGCGGCAGCTCAGTGAATAAAGTATTGATTGTAGGAGCCTGAGGGCTTGAGTTTGGATCTCTAACACTCACATCAAGTCTGGTGTAGCAGCGTGCATCTGCAGCCCCAGTCCTGGAGTGGGAGCAGTGGCCAGAGGCTCACTGGCCTAGCTGAAATGTACTCCAGGTTCAATGAGAGACTATGTCTCAAAAAATAAGTTGGAGGAGCTGAGGTGGCTCAGTGGTTAAGAGCACTGGGTTCTGTCCCAGTGCCCACACATAGCTCACATCGGGTTTTGGGAGCTCTGATGCTCTCTTCTGGTCTCCTCGGGCACTGCACAAAATGGCACAGACATACATTCAGGCAGAATACCCATAAAATAAAACACAAAAAAATTAAGTTAAATTAAAAAAAGAAAGAAGATGGGAAGCAATAGAAGACAATTCACTCTGACCTTTGGCTTCAACATGCACATATGTGGCTGTGTAAAGGTGTGCGGGAGTGTGTGTGTGTGTGTGTGTGTGTGTGTCAGTCCGCCCAGATCTGAGCTTAGCCTAAGTCCTCAGTTAAGCTTTGCTCTTAGGAGAGAGAAGTTGTTACAAATACAGCCCCACTCTGAGGTGCATTGCCAGGTGAACACAGTGAACACTGGCTCGGCTCACAGGAAGAACCCAGAAGGGTCTCTTGTAAACCTGTGCAGGTTGGTGGCTGGCTGTGCACAATGAAGAAGGGGCCTTAAGTGGGAGCCCCCTGCTGTTGCCCTGGCTACAGCTCCGCTTTCTCTGCCTGGAATGCCCGTGCTTTACACACATCTTCATTGCCACAAGCAGAATGGAAATTCCTGGACCTGGAAGAATGTGCATTGCCAGATTTTCCAGACAACACTCGGGCTCCAGGAAACTCTGTCCTCCTTAGAGCCTGGCTGGGTTCCTCCCAGGCCCACCTGGGTTGCCCTGGCTTGGGTAACACCTCTCCTGAAGCCCCTCTGCTCTGCCTGCAGCCTGGCCCTGGGCCCCTGAATTGTAGGGATGAATGCTGTCGTCTCTGGGTTTCCATGCCCATGGTAGAACCCCCCTCTGGCTCTGACAGACAGTGATCCCTGTGGGCGGCTGGCTGTGGGGAAGGGAGGGACTTTTTTTCTTTGGGGTGACTCAGACTGATGTCACTGCAGTGGGTGCTGGGGGCTGTGATGCACAGACTGTCATTTCCCCTTTTGGGCTCTGGGGACACTGCGGTCAGAGGCACGTGGCTAGGTTTGGTGTATTAACCACATTCCCTACTCAGATTTGGCCACTTCCTGTGCCTTATTTCCTCAGCATTGATCTGGGGTCCCCATCGTGTTCATTAACTCACTATCACCACTAGTAGCAATGGCAATGAGAAATAGAATTTTTTCCTAGTGGTTAGCAGTGGTCATACTCCCATTTTACCCTCCCATCCTTCTCCTTTCCCACTCTAGGAATTGAACTCAGGGCCTTGTGTAGATTAGACAAACATTCTAGCACTGAGCCACACCCCCGCTCTTTATTCAATGAAGTTCTAGTGTCTGTACCTGGCACTGATGGGGCACATAGACAAGACTAAAAGTACCTACTCTTTAGCTTCAGGGGCTGAGCATGTGGCTTAGTGATAAAGTGCTTACCTAACACACTTAGAGCCCTGGGTTCACTCTTCAGCACCTCAAAGATCCCAAACCACACAAAGTGTCATTCAAGAGGCCCTGTGCCACCTTCTTGGACTTCCTGTGGCTCATTGTCTGCACACTGCAGTTCAGAAAATCTCCAGTGAGGGCAGGAGGCTGGGCTAGGATCACTGTTCCCATAAGAGGAAACTGAGGCTTTTTTGGGGTTCAGTGATATAAAGCAAGGCCCAGAAAGCAGCCCATGGGTCAAGTTCATCATCTGACCTCCTTTTGTAGCAAGATGTATTGAAAAAGACCAGCTCTGGCTGTGTGCAAGCTGGAATTCTAGGTCCAATATTGGGACAGAGGTTGTCTGACCTGTTTAGCTGGAAATGTTTACTGTCTGTCATGCCACCAGAGAGGGTCACAGGACACTAAAGTAGCCATTATGTGAAGACCAGGGCTAGAGTGTGTGTCTCAGACATCTGAGAGCCATGTTGTGCAGTCTAAGGAAGGGGTGACTTTGCCAGTCCTAGCCTGGCTATTCATTTCTCGTGGCTGCTTTTCTATGATGTAGGGTTAATGACCGTGCTGGGTTGGGGGTGAGGGCACAGGGTTGCCAGGCCACTACAGGGTGAGAGTCACAGCTGCTCTTCCTGCTCTGTGTGCCCTAGATGAAGTGAGTACCTGCTCTGGCTGGAAGGTCTTGTAGAGGGTCATTTGCTGACCTCTTGTCTCTCTTTTCTCTGTTCCTTCTCTGTCCCCGGCAGGGATTCCTGAGAACTCAAAGGTGGAGGGCCCTGCATTCACTGATGCCATCCGCATGTACCGCCAGTCGAAGGAACAGTACGGCACCTGGGAGATGCTGTGTGGGAACGAGGTGCAGGTGAGGTCAGAAAGGTCCAGTTGTATAAGGCTGGTACTAGGAGCAGGGTTCTGGGGAGCAACAGGTTTGGGAAGAGATGGAAAAATCAGATTTGGGTGAGTGAAAACTCCTGTAAATCTGTCGACTCATGTTCCTGGGTGCTGGGGGGCAGGGCGACTGTTACGATAAATCTTTTCGCCAAATGCCACCCGAGCCCTACCGCCATGTGGGCACTTTCCGCCAGCTGTCCGAGTTCTGCCCGACGAGTTAGGGCCCCAAATAATACAGACTTATATTAGGTACAAATGCTGCTTGGCCAATGACTAGGATTTCTCATCTGTTAGCTCAGTCTTAATTATCATAATTCTATATATTTTATAAGACTTATCTTATAGAGGATGCCTTCCAGAGGGGTCTTGAGTGGCTGGAATCACAGAGAAGCAAGCCAGGTGGAGAGACCCCTGCCTTGACTCCTGCCTCTTGATCCTAGATACTAAGCAACCTTGTGATGGAAGAGCTGGGCCCAGCACTGAAGGCAGAGCTTGGCCCACGGCTGAAGGGAAAGCCACAGGAACGGCAGAGACAGTGGATCCAGGTGTGTGGACATGGGACGCCTTTGCAGGGACCAGGGTATTGAGGGGGAACAGTTGGCCATCTGCGCTCAGCCCTGGCACTGACGTCTCTGTTGTACTCACAGATCTCCGATGCTGTGTACCGCCTGGTGTTTGAGCAGGCCAAGGTGCACTTTGAGGAGGTACTGTCTAAGTTGCAGTTGTCCCGGCCAGCCATGGAGGCTGTCATTCGCACTGACATGGACCAGATCATCACCTCCAAGGAGCATCTGGCAAGCAAGATCCGGGGTAGGTGCTGTTTACGCCTCTCCAGGACCAGGCTCGCTTCTCTGTAGTCTGTAGTGTGATCTCTTACTGGCCTGTTGTTCCACTGAAAAATCAGTCAGATCCAAGGCCCTCTGACTCCTGCTAATTTTTCTCTAAGTTGTGGTTTTTTTTTTTTTTTTTTTTTGGTGGTTTTTTTTTTTTTTTTTTTTTTTTCTCCCTGCTTTTTTTTTTTTTTTTTTTTTTTTTTCCAGGGTTTCTCTGTGGCTTTGGAGGCTGTCCTGGAACTAGCTCTTGTAGACCAGTCTGGCCTCAAACTCACAGAGATCCGCCTGCCTCTGCCTCCCGAGTGCTGGGACTAAAGGCGTGTGCCACCACTGCTCATTGTAAATTTTATTTCTTCACATTGGATTCTGGAGGTTCTGGGAATCAAACCTATGGCTTCATCCACACTGGATGAGCACTCTGTTCCTGAGCTGCAGCTCCAGCCTTTTTTTTTTTTTTTTTCCTAACTGTTTGAGACATAGTCTTGTAAGTTACCCAGGTGAGGTTTGAATTTATGATCCTCCTGCCTCAGCCTCCTGAGTTCCTAAGATGACGGGCTTTTGACTCTAGCTCAGATTTTGAAAGCGGGAGGTTTTTGTCTTTGAGGTTCAGGCCTCTTGTCTGTCCTCAGCCAACTCAGGTCTGGTGACATGTCACCTGGTGGACCATTGTGTCACCTTGGAAATACTTAACTTCCCTGGGTTGCATGTGTTCCCTTCATTATTCACTTTGTGTTCCTTTGACACAGTACCAGCAGGTGGTGGCTTTCTGTGGTGATTATGGACCAGACCTGGTCACTGGGAGTTGACTGAGAGTTGACATTTATTGTGTTCAATAAGTATTAGCTGAGCAAGAAGTGGGGTGACTTGGGAACATCCCCTGGGTAAAAATGCTGTGGTTTGAATGTTCTGAAGTACTGGCTGTGGAGAGCCATGCCACCCTGCTCCAGGGCAGGGGTCAGCTTCTACGAAGCTCCCTGGATCCACAGAGGCACCCGTGTTGCCAATTCTTTTCTTTTCTTTGTTTCTTTCCTTTCTTTCTTTTTGTGGGACATATCCAGGCTGGCCTTAAATTTGTAGCTTCAAATATCTAGCGGAGGATGGTCTTAAACTTCTAATTCTCTCGGGGTGCTAGGATGGTCGACATAAGCCACTGCACTCAGTTTTTGGTTCCCTTCTTTGATTTGTTGTTTTGCTGATTCCTCTCTGAGGTCAGTGAGCTAGTTCATGTCACCAGCACCTATAACATAGTAGCTTCTCTGGTATCCAGGATGGACTGTGCCTCGGATGGGATGGTGGGATGGGGTGGATTGTGTCCCAGGCACCACCCCCCCTTCTAAATCCTCTCCCTCCTCATGCAGCCTTCATCCTCCCCAAGGCGGAGGTGTGTGTGAGGAACCACGTCCAGCCCTACATCCCATCCATACTGGAGGCCCTGATGGTACCCACCAGCCAGGGCTTCACTGAGGTACGGGACGTCTTCTTCAAAGAAGTCACAGACATGAATCTGAATGTGATCAATGAGGGTGGCATCAACAAACTAAATGAGATAAGGTGTGTGTACAGG